CGCATGAAATGTGCCGCCTTCACATCCACACATTCATCCTGCAGACTTCTCATCCACACATTCATCCTGCAGACTTCTCATCCACACATTCATCCTGCAGACTTCTCATCCACACATTCATCCTGCAGACTTCTCATCCACACATTCATCCTGCAGACTTCTCATCCGCACATTCATCCTGCAGACTCCTCATCCACACATTCATCTTGCCGACTTCTCATCCACACATTCATCCTGCAGACTCCTCATTCCACTTCATTAGGAAGGACTCATGTTGTGCATGCCATATCCTCATCACAGCAGAGCTGGCGGTATTTTTCTCATGGTTGGTCGTCCCCTTTTAGTGATCCCGAGCCCACTGTGACCTCATTTAGCAGACAGGAGTAGAGCCCAGTGGGCTTTTCTACTGCACTACCTATTCCTCTTTAACAGGGGTGGGCAACTTCGGCTCTCTAGCTATGCTTTAACTACAAATGCCAACATGCCTCTGCCTCTGGGAGTCATGCCTGTAACTGTCAGTCTTGCAATGCCTCATGGGACTTGTAGTTCCACAACAGCTGGAGGACTGGAGTTGCTCACCCTGGCTCTTTGAGGGTATTTCATTATACGAGGTTCTGAGGTCCGGATGTGATTTCATTTAGCAAGAATCTGGATTTTTGCATCAGAAATGACAGGTGGCTCTGGACAGCTGCGGCAGCACAGAAAAGCTTGCATCCAGAGGCGGTTATCGGTGTCTTACCTAGGACGTAGCTGATCCATGTGCGATTATATCTGAACACAGGCAGACAACTGCACCCACTGGCAGTCTGTCATTGCTTTGTACAGGCTTAGTGGCCTTATCTCTCCGCAACCACCTGTAATTCCACAGATTCTTGGTGCATGAATTGTTATCCGGACATTAAAGCCTCGTGTGAATGAGGCCTTATGCATTTCACCTTCTAATTCTTCCCCAGTCGGCTTCAAGGGGAACCTCCCACTCTGGGGATTCAGGGCTGAGTTGCAGGTTGTTAGGACCTGAATAGAAAAGGATACAGTAGAGCGCAGAGTCTGCCCGGTGATTCTGGAATGTTCCTGACCTCTTGTGTCCTGGGATTGGTACCTGTGGGCAGAGAGCAGCCAGGTGCAGATGTCCTCTCAGCCAATCCCTGAAGAGGATCTGGGAGGCAGGGACTCCTGAGGCGAGAGGTGCGAGGTGAGCACTGACATGGTCTCCTCAGATCTGCTCCTGTGGAAACTCTTTGGTTATGTCCTGTAATCTCAGCATTAAAGCCCCGTTCACACCAGGGCTTTTGTCGCCGTGCAGATTTTTCCGCACTGAAACACCAACATTTAAAAACCCATTCATTCCTATGGGGCTTGTTCACTCAAACGTGCGCAATTCAATCTGTCTGTTGCCCAAACTGCTCCCTGAGCGACTTTTTCCGCACTGATCAGTGCGTTTCCATATAGACTTCAATAGAAACGTGCTCATCAGTGCATTTTTAATCACGTTTCGGCGCTGAAACGTGCATAAAAACGCATAACAATGCCCTTCCAAAAATGGCACAAAGAACACCTGGAAAACCAGTGGATGTGGTGTACCTGAATTTTGTAAAAGCATTTGACACGGTACCACATAAACTCTTAGTACACAAGCTGAGGTCTATGGGCATAGATTAAATGGTGTGTACATGGATACAGAACTGGCTATAGGAACGTGTCCAGAGAGTATTGATAAATGGCTGTTTTTCAGATTGGTCTAGGGTCATGAGTGGCGTGCCCCAGGGTTCTGTGCTGGACCCAATACTGTTTAACCTGTTTATTAATGATATCGGGGAGGGCGTCAATAGCCATGTTTCTGTGTTTGCTGATCATACTAAAATTGGGAGGGTAATAGACACGGACTTAGACGTTATAACATTACAGGAGGTCCTGGATAAAATAGGGAAGTGGACAACTACATGGCAGATGAGGTTTACTGTTGAGCCAAAGGAAATCTCACCACTCCAATTCCTTAGCCGCCATCAGGACTCCCATGTGCTGGTCTAATAGGTGCGTCTCCACCTTGGAATGTAGTAGTATACGAACAGACCGCACTATCCAGAGAATTCCAATACTTCAGACTTTAATGAAATTCATAGCAAATCCAGTGTAACAGTGAATAAAAGTGTATAAAGCAGCAAATGACAGCACAGCACACCCCCTACCAGCTACAACCTCTCACATGTTTCACCTGTAGGCTTATTCATAGAGGTAACAAATACAGTCCGGTATCTCACTTAAATGTGATAAAAAAAACTCCACCCTACACAGATGACAGATGCAGGAAGCAATGCTCACTGATGGATAGGTTAACTCTAAACTGGCTGGTGTATAAGGGTCAGTAGAGCACAAAGAAACTACGAATACCATCAATCATGTTATAATCTCCATACCAACAATACCAAATAAAGTCATTTGTTGCTTTATACACTTTTATTCACTGTTATTCTGGATTTGCTGTGAATTTCAATAAAGTCTGAAGTATTGGAATTCACTGGATAGTTTGGTCAGTTTGTATACTAGTTGAGGTTTAATGTTGAAAAATGTAAAGTAATGCACTTTGCGGTTAAAAACAGGCAAGCGGAATACACATTAATGGGAACTCCACTAGGGAAGTCAGAGATGGGAAAAGATTTGGGGGTCATAATAGACCACAGATTGAATAATAGCTTGCAATGCCAGGCTGCAGCAAACAAAGCGAGCAGAGTATTTTCTTGTATTAAAAAGGTAATGTTCTGTAAAGACAAAGCAATTATTTCGTCACTTTTATAGATCACTGGCTCGGCCTCATTTTGAGTATGTGGTTCAGTTTTGGTCACCAATCCACAGAAAGGATGTCCTGGAGCTGGAGTCCAGAGAAGGGCAACAAAACTAATTAAGGGGCTGGAGGACCAAAGCTATGAGACAAGGTTACTACATTTAAACATGTTCAAGTTAGAAGTGAGGCGATTAAAGGTGGCCATACAATTTACAACCATCGCAAGACCTTAGTCTTGCGATGGTTGTAAAGTAATTTAAAAAATGTACAATCTGCCCATCTTGGACAGGCAGATCGTACTTGCGATCATCGCAAGCCCGCCCCCATGAGGGGTGGATCTGCGATGACCGCAATGCTGAACGGGCAGTGTGCGCGTGCGCACACCGGCCCGTGCGTCATTGATCTTACGATCATGCTAAAAAACAGCCGAAAATCGTACGATTCTCGGCTGGTTTTCTAGCATGCTCCTTAGACAAAAGATGTGCGACCGTACAGTAAAAGTGGTTGCACGCCTTCCATACACTTTGCGATTATCGTACGATCGCGGGATTTCCTGCGATTATTGTGCAATAATCGCACAGTGTATGGGCACCTTAAGAGACATGATTTTGATGTACAAAATGCTTGAGGGTGCTTGCAACATTAGCAATAAACGTTTTACAGTAAACTCCGTAACAAGGACTAGAGGCCACCACCTAAAATTGGTGGAGAAAAGATTTAACCACAAACGGCGTAGTGGATTCTTTTCAGTCAGAGCGGTTACATTTTGGAAATGCCACAAGCTCTCTGCCACAAGCGGTGTTATAAGCAGAGAGTATTGAATCATTCAAAAATCAATTAGATACCTTCCTCAGAGACCATAACATACAGGGGCACAGGTACTCTTAAAACCTTAGACCCCAAGGGACTCACATGCACACACGCACGTACTACACACACTTACACATAAAGTCAAACTCGATGGACCTGTGTCTTTATTCAACCTCAAATACTATGTAACTATGTAACAGGCTGAAATGCTGTTGCCCTGGTGTGAATGGGACCTAAAGAGGTTGGAACAAGCTCACAGCTGTTTTTAGCAGCAGGCTGGGGGTGATGTTGTAAACATTTATCAAAATTGAAGCAGGCAACATCTGGAGCAGATGTGCATTGCAACCAATCAAAATCAAACTAAAGAAAGAAGCTGATTAGTTGCCATGAGCAACTGCTTCAGATTCTGTCTGCTCCAGTTATGATAAATTCGCCCTGCTGTCTGTGACAGTAGAACTGCCCGATCACTTTTACAGGACTGATGGGGAATCATCATCTCTCTTCAGTTTGCTCAGGTTAAGATTTGAAAATGAGACAGAGAAGCTGATTGGTTGCAGTACAAATCTGTTCCAGTTTTCAAAAATTTCCCCCACAGTTTGCTTCCCCCTCTCTGTGGTTTCCGGGTTGTCCTATTCCTCTAGGGTGAGTGAACGCAGAAGCACTCAGCTCTGAGCAGAAGGACATTGGAGAGCTTAAATTCCCTGATATCCTCTTCAGAGGGTGAATGCAGAAGCACTCAGCTCTGAGCAGGAGGACATTGGAGAGCTTCAATTCCCTGATATCCTCTGCAGAGGGTGAACACAGATGCACTCAGCTCTGAGCACTTCCGGGGGTCACAGCTATCAAAATAGTCTGCGTTCAGGGATGTACGACCGTATGCATGCACATATTCACACAAGTGCTGGTAAATACATGCATACAGCCACGTACAGAGAGCGATTTCTATGAGCGGCTGTATGCAGCACCTGTGACTCCCGGGCGGGGAGATATGCTCATGTTTGGAGTTGTAATCCTGTACACATGAACGTGTATACCCACACGCAGTCACATACAGCAATTGTTGTCTTTGGGCAGCTATATGCAGCACCTGAGGCTCCAGGGTTGGGAAATACACCTGAATTTTACATTGTACATCCCCAGGTGCCTGCGTGCATGATCCCTCAGTGTACACGGGGCGATATTATGTTGTCTGCACGATACTAATGGTGTTATTTTAGCTTACATACTATGTGAAAAGATTCATTCGGATGAAACTAATTTTCTCTTTGATGAAATATTATTTCACAGGGGCTGTCTAGTGACAAGAAGAAATCTATAGATGGGAATCCACCTTATGTGACTGTCCGTCATCTCTGCGGACGTGGTTCGGAAGGGTTTTCCCGCAATTAACTATTTATTGGACCAGCAGAAGCTTGATGATGAATCTTAACTGCAGTGATGCATCAACTCTGAAGAAGCTCCTGACACAAATCCTCAAGGAGCTGGAGCGAGCCAATAGCACGAGTCCTCCTTCAAGTGAGGATGATGATTATGATGATGCATACTTGTATATCCTGCTAATCATGATCTTCTATGGCTGCTTGGCAGGGGGGCTCATACTGGCCTACACCAGATCCACAAAGCGGGAGTCCAAAAATGACCCCTACCACCTGTATATAGAGAGAGAATGGGGGAAACATGCCTTAGCTGCTCCCTCTGCGGACGAGAGCCATCAAAGGGGGAGTATCGAAAGTGAAAATTTGCTTTGAAAAATGGACACCAGACAGTCTTCTAGATATTTCTGGAACTGAAGGGTGTACAGAGAAGAATGGATTGCTGAAAATACCGATTTCTGGCTGTCCTGCTGATTTAATGGCTTCACTGCCTCGGAAACAAGTGTGCAGATTAGGGCTTCTGGCTTTACTTTCTACATGCTTGTTAATTGGCTTCAAGAGACAGCCAGGCAACTAACATTTTCAAAAGAAGATAAGCATTGTTTTCCTTTAATGTATTGTTCATGTCATTCTTTATGTCCAGTTAAGAATGAGCATGTGTTTTAGTCAAGATGGAATTGAAAGAATAGCACCATCTTTTTTTTAACCATGTTTCATGCTACGCCGACATTCAGAGTGTAACATAAAGCATAGTCACATCAACAAGCACCCCACCCCCAAACTGCCCCCCACCTTACCAGCAGAATTTTGTATATAGTTAAATTTGGCAAGGCTGTGTGTGGCTCCACCCACTCAGCCACCTCATCCATTCACAGATCCTTTGACATGATCTGTGAATGGAGAGACTACGAGCCTCATCTTCCACTGTGGCAGAGGGACTTGAATCTAAAGAGAATACAAGTTTTGGTGACGTCACGCCACTTGTAGTCCATTCAGACTTCCGTCCCTGTAACAAAGTCTGTAAAGACAGGGACCCGGAGAACCAGTTTGTAGGAGCTATAGCATGGCACCTGCAATCCACAGATAGTGCCTGCAATGCTTTGCATGCCCCAATGCAAACAAAACTATAAATACACATATTTTTTATTTTATTAATGTGTATATTTTGTATTGATTTTTTGCACGAGGTGGACGTTGGCTTTAAGGGGAAAAAAAGCAATTTCTTTTTAAAATATGAGCAATATAAAAAAAGGATCCTGTTTAAAATGTTGCATTTTTTACAATGTTCAGTACAGACACCCAACACCCCATCAACACTAATGTGCTTTAACACATGCCAGGGAAAGTACAACTCCCACTTTCCTTACTAGTCACTCATCGTTCCTAGCGCTATGGGCATGTCTCCATCCCCCACTCCTCTGTACCATTCATAAAACAAAGCCTGGGGCTGTGTGTGTTTTTCATCTGAGCAGGCTGCAGTCCAGTGGGAGTTTTACTTCCCCCAACAGAAAGAGCAGATTGGTGTAAGGCTGAGGAAAGCCAGCATGACTGGGGCCGACAGAATGTATGAATGAACCAGGGTAAAGTGGGGTTTACACGGTTGTTTTCTGAACGTTTGTTCGAATATCTATCAATTAGTATGGTGCAATCAACAGAAGAAAACAACAATGTTCTTGAAAAGTCCCATGTTGGAACATTTTTCTCGATCAAATTCATTTCTAACAGTGAATGTGGTTTCTGTTCGGAAACTCATTCCATAATAGAATGGTAAATCCAAATTAACATTAATTTTGAAGGCAATTGACAAGTTTCTGATGTCGGTATCGCACGTTCTGACGGGTTTTTGTTGGTAAGAAGATTGTGCAAAAACCTACCCGTGTAAACCCTACTTAAGTTTATTGTGTCCTCAGGTCAGCTTTTAACTTTTTTTTTCCTGGATAAACGCTGCAGCCTTCATTGAAGTCTTCTTATGGATTTCACACTTGTTAACGACTTTGACAGGCTAAGTTCCCACAGCCAGCTCTGACTCATGTTTCCAAGGCAAACTGTATCAGCTGTGTGTGAAATTCTGAGCGTTTTTTTCTGCACGGCAAACCTATCGATTAACAGAATGTACTTATTTCTATGGCAAACATTGAGGATCCCAGCAGCATTTAAATGTCAAACAACACACTTAACTCAAGCCTTTAGGATATTGATCTTAGCAGGCAATGCAGCGAGGAGTGCAACCAAGCATGAAATACAACCAGCTTACATAACTGGACAACATCTGATGAGAAGCATTCATGTATTGGGCATGTTGTGCCTGTTCTTGATTATGGGAAAATAGAAGTTTGCATAGGTGATCTGTCCTCCCGAAACCTCTAAATAAACTGAATATCTAGTAAGACTGTCTTATTGGGTATATTGAAGAACAAGTACACCCATGGGTTGGTGGGGACCAGTGCTTTGAGCCTCCCTCTGGAGACTCCACAAGTAATATCTTCTGTCGTAATCCTTGCCATTTCCCTGCCTTACAGCTTCAATTAATTCTACTTCTCTGCCATGTAAAACCAATGGATGTTCATCAGGAATAGCGACAGTTGGTAGGTGGAGCTGTGAACACAAAAAAAATGATGCTAGAAATGTGAGCGTAGGGGCGACTCAACTCGTCTGTGTCCACCAAGCACTGAAATACCAGCTTTGTGTGGTCTCTTAAAGTAGAACCCCTGCCAGACTTGGTTTTATTATTAGATAGGGCTAGAATCTTTATAAGGTTTTTATTGCTGTCTTAATCCTAGTTGGAAATATTTCATTCAACCACCTTATGTCGCCGTAACACAACAGGAGAGCAGGGAATCACAATAGGGAGGTAGACTGACTATTAATAGTTTCCCACGCTACCAATAAAAGTACTTTTACTGCTGTCTGTGTACCTGCTGGGGGTCTTCATCTCATTTCTTTTCCCTCTGAGACAACTGGAAGTTTGGAGAAATCTCCCCAATAGACGCACAGACAGCAACAAAAACGTGGAAAAGGTTCTTTTCCTTCCAAATTATAAAAATAAAAATGTGTTCTATTTTAAAGTGAACCTGAAGTGCCATCAACATACCTGACCCAGCACGATCAGTACATAGTCGGTTTAGGTATATAAATACTTACTGAATGTATTAATTTAATAATTTCAAAGGGTGATTAGAATGACCACATCATTAGCCCTTAAACTAACATGACCGAATCTGTATTTGTAAACATTTGAGGTTTTAACAATAAATATTACTTTTTTTACATTTGTGTTTAAAGTGTATGTAAACCCCAACATTGAACTTGTCTTAATTGAGCTGTTTTGGCCTGCTAAATATACCATTGAAAGTGTTTTTATTTTATCTGTTGATCTTGCCAGGAATCTTCTGAGCAGATAACTTCATGGTCTTTCTGCCTGTGCTGATTGTTATCAGTTACGTTGTTCCCAGCTTTTTCTACAGAACCATACCCCTTCTCTGTTATGGAGAAGGGGAGAGGTGTGGGGTGCTGTAGTTCTATCCAGTTTCTCTTGTCCTGATACAGTAGAGTCCATCATCCTAGGGCAGGAGATTGTGACAGCATCACCAATATAAAAGGGAAAAAAGCTTGAAAAAATAAAACTATCCACCACATATAAGGTCTGGTAAGTTATGATACATAAAAATGTATTGGCTTATTATATGCATAAAAGCTTGTAAAATACGTGGTTTAATATATATATATATAAATTCTATCCAGCTAGCAGGTAGAGTGTTGGGCTTTAGTTAACATTTTCCAGCATCTCCTTACAAAATTGCTGCTTACAGAGCTCAATAGCTCAGGCTGAAATTCGCACACCCAGGTAAATGCATATGAGCACTGTCTCCTTCCTATCTCTGCCTCTCCTTCTGGTCTTAAGCCCTATTTTAATTTGAAGAAACCCTTTTTTGTCAACCCTCGCAGTGGGGCTACCCCCACATTGCAAGGGTTAAATGCCCGTTTTTGTCTAGGTGCTAAAAAAAAAGTTATACTAACCTATACTGCGGAGCCTGCCTGCTCTTAGACAGGTCCTTCCAGCCCCTCTCCCCCTCCGCTGTGGCAATCTAGGGTACTGTAAATAATCACGTTCTTTACACAGTGTATAGACGTGAGGATGCTGAGGAACATTGCAATGCTGCAGTGTAGGAGGAGACATGTTTCAGAGACCGGAGAAACAGGCAGCAAGCTCAGTGGTTCAGGTAAGTGTAACTTTTTTTTTTAGCACGTAAACGAGCACTTAACCCTTGAAGTGCAGGGGTGGCCCCACTGCAAGGGTTAATAAAGGTTTTGCCCGGAGTTCTATTTCAAAATAAACCTTATTCATATATTTTCCCTGCAGTCCTCTAGTTGGTCAGGTGACATCATTGCAACTAACTCTTCTTCCTTCGGCGGCAGGGGGAAGGCATTCTTCCAGGATCACGTAACGATGTGTCTGTGCTGTTCAGTCCTGGAGTACTGTGAACCCAGCCCATGTGGTGATGTTCCCCCAGGGGGTGTGAAAATGACATGTTGGGCTCACAGATGACACAAGTGTTGTTCTGCCTGAAAAGGACAAACAATGAGGGGAGGCAGGAGAAAGACCGGAGCTCTATTTTAAGCCACAATTCTAAGATTATTTGTATCAGCCTGAAAACCTGCACTTCCCATCACTATATAAGTTAATATACCTGAAACAAGTAGACTGGGGTAATGAACTGTCCTTCTCTACTGAACACCTGCCATTTGTTTACTTTTCAAAAAATGCAATCCATAGGGGTAGGGATTCTTTGAAATGGAATCTTTTTCTCCTGGTTTTTGCCCTACAGCACATTCTGTGTTAGGATAATAGATGTTCTAATAGAAGGAGGGGGAAACTAATCCTTCCTTTGTGTATAGTAGGGATGCACCCGGTTTTGTGGTATCGAGTATGAGTACTGATATTTGGTTTTCGGTACTCGCCGATACCGGTGCTTGGGCTGGCATGGAGCTGGCTTCCGGGCAATCAGGAAGCCGGGCGGGGGTAATGACATGTCATCTAGCTTCCTAATTGCCCGAGCCTGGCTTCCCAGCCAATCAGCATGGAGAGGGCTTCCCGGCCAATCAGGTCATTACTCGCCACCCGGCTTCCTGATTGCCCGGGAAGCCTGCTCCATGTTCCCCTACGGCACTGCCAGTTAGAGGAACTCTTCCTCTGACCAGAAGTTCCGATATCAGGGAAAGTATCGGAGCATTTGGGTGAGTATGAGTATCAGTGCATCCCTAGTGTATAGCAAAAATCTCTTTTCTTTTAAGGGTTCACAATTTAGGGGATTTGTTTGCTTCAGGTAGTAGAGACAGTTGTCGATGGGGTCTAAACAGTGACATTCTCCTTTATTGTGATGAGTTTCCTTTTAGATAACTGAGGTTTACAGTCTAACCCAATGTTAAAATATAATATA